TGACAACAGCTTAAGTAGGTCTTGGGGGAATCACAAAGTAACCAGTAAGGTAAGGAGGTGTTACAAACCAACCAATTACGAGAAAGGGTTAACAGCCAATAGGTGACTTTCCCATTATCTCTCAGACATTCCAAAGGTACAGCAGGGGGTGGTGGGGGTGGTGGTGGTGGTGGTGGTGGTTTGGGAACAAGAAGGGTCACAATCACCATCTTGGAAGCATGGTAACTTTAAGCAATCATTACAAGTTTCTGCATTCTTTATATCCTAAGAGCATATTACAACAAAAAATTACAGACATAATATTGATGCAGACTCTTGATTTGATTCTAAAAGGTTGACACCAGGACTCAGTAGTATCCTTTTTCAGACTAATGGACTGTAGCATCCAGAAAAATAAATTATTTCAGTTCCCAGTTGTTTCATCTGGGCAAGTGGTGATGCTAGAAACCAAGCCTCCAAAGTCTATTCATGTTATGAATAACCTGTTATGTAAAATTTGTGTAGTTCAATTCCTGTGTCCAACTTCTACCCAGCAGGTGACTTGTTTGGGCCATGGAAGGCCTCCTGCATGTTTTACATTGCATATAGACTACCCAACGGTGCCACTGCTTATTACCATCAACATTCCTTCTTGCATGTCATTGAGCTGCTCAAAAAATATGCCAGCATATTTCTGTGTTTCAAGTTCAGCAAACATTGTGCATTAAGTCTAACCACTTATATAAATGCAAGTTTATTAACTTTGCACATAAGGTTCAGTAGGCATCTGCTCCACAGAAGCAACTTTGAAAAGCTGGTAATCGTTACATCCCCCTCCGCTCTGGAGTGCCACAGGAGTTTATGCCAGTGTCAGCTCTGGGTGCTATGCTGCACTCCTGCTCTGTTTCTTGGTTGCATGTTGTCTCCCTGTCCCCTGAGACAGCAGTGGTGTTTGTGCAACTATACAGTACGCTGGTTCAGGGAACTGGTCTAGTTGCAACCTGTTTTCCTCTGTCAAGGGATGAGTTTCCTGCTGATCATGTCAGTGATTGGGTTAACTGTGCTCAGTGTTAGAGGAGAGGAGGAGTGAAAAAGCAAAGTGAGACTGCAACAACTTGGATTTCTTCCATTTGCTATTGAAAGCAGCAGCTCTGTTCTTCTCTGGATTTATACATATGGAAATGATCAGATTGTTTCAGATTCTGAAAATACAACAAGTCGAAACTACCAAAAAAAAAAAGAAAATAACTAAAGAGTCTTCCCACTCTGACTTTAATTTACTCAAGATCTGTTGGATTGAATTTGCAGAGCCAGAGCACTATGTTAGTGAATCTGCTGAACTATTTTCAGAACAGGCTGTGATGCTGGATAACCCTTCTTGAACTGTTCTGGAAGGCTTGATTCAGTGTTTCAAGAATTGCTTTTCTTTTTTTTTTTTTTTTAATCTGGTCTTGATTTTTGTCTTGCTACCTTACCTAAAACTTCATATCTATGTAGAAGAACCTCAGATGGGAATGGTTGTTTTGGTTCTCCTGTAATTTTATTTTTTTAATGTTCTGAAACCAGAGATTTTTACTAACCTTCATGTTTATTCATAACTTCATCAGGAAAGGGGAAGAAAATAGAGGAAAACCAAAATTTTTGGTAATGGGAAGCATTTTCGTTCCATTTCTGTATTTCACAAATGTCCAGGATCTTCGGTGACTGAGACAGAACCTCTCAGTCCAGTATTACCAGATGAGCTGCTTGTAGCCTGTTTTGCTTCCTGGCACTCAGATTGCAAAGGTGTCAATTCTTTCCACAGTGTCTGCACTTTTTGCACTTTTTGAGAAATTCGTACAACCCGTGAAGTTCCCTTTTTTTTTTTTTTCCCCAAAGCAAAAGCAACCACCGACCCCTCTTTTACTTGGTCAGTTGCTTCCCTCATGAGTCAACAAATAATGGAGAGGAAGAAAAAGCAAAATAAACAAAGATCCGCATTTAGCTTAAATCAGAGAAATGTTGCTGCTTCTGATCAAGGCTCTGGCCTCAACAATCAGAACTCAGGTGAGAGAGCACTTAATTTTGCTCTGTTTCTGTTGCTTCTCCCCAAATGGTTTTGTAAACTACATTAGGATGATTCTTTCCTCTCTATGTCAGGTATTTTCCTCTGAAGCCCATTGTCAGCACCTCGTCTATATGTTGTCATAAAGCACTTCTTTCTCCAACTCTGCAATGAAAGGAAAGTACAGAGCTCAGGAAGCAAAAATTCAATGTCCCCCTGAGGGTTGTTGCTGAGAAACAAAGATCAAAATATCTGAGATTAAAACTGAAGCTAATACAGCTTTTGTCAGGCAATTCAAAAGAAGGTCCTTTTAGTCTGTAATACAAACATTTGAAAAAAAAGTTTAATACAGTTTGAAAAATCCACTTGTATTAATTTCCCTGAGTGTCCTGTAGTTAAAATCAACATCTAAAGAATCTTGTCTAGGCCTGCGCTCAGTTTTTTTCTCTGAGCCCTTTATTAAAAATTAATGACAAAATGTCTGATAAACCATGACAAACCTATCCATGCTAAAAATGTAACTGATCTGAAAATGGACCCTTTAAAAGAAGATAAAAGAAAAAACGACAACAAAACACTAAGTAGTATTTTTTCCAGCATCTTAATTCTACACAGAAAATTACTGCAGCATTTAAAAAAGATTGTTATAGAAAACTTTGATACAGTTCATATTTGAATTTACAGAACCTCACTGAGTAGGAAAAAAAAAGGTATCTAAAAGACTAAGCAACTTTCCAGTTTCCAAAGATTAAATTAAGGTATCTTTGTATAAATGGCTATTCCATGTATCAAATACAGTTATAAGCAATTTTGCAAGTCAAGCAGAAGTTCCTTGAAGTAAATAAATTTTGACGATAAGTGGCACCATAGTGTCCTCTTGTGGTCTTTTAATGTTTAAACTGTGACATGTTTTCTAGAAGAACAGCAAAATTTTCAGTTGCCTTTAGCATAAGAGCTCCTCTATTACTATAATGTGGCTTTTCCTTGCTTTACTTTTCTCCTGGAAATGGCATATGGAGGATTTCACATTTTGTCTCCTAAAAGCATCGACTACCACCCCCCATTTTTCACATGTTCATGTACGTGTTGTGGTCTTCTCCAGAGGACCTCTTCCAGCCACTGCCTATCTTTGCCATGGGTGAACTAGATCCTGGCCTTTTTTAGTCACAACCTTTGCAGCCAGGTTGCTAATTTCCATCCTGCTTTGTCCACAAGCCTGTCGTGATCCTCAGATGTGAAGAAGCAGGAATGTGCTGAAAATTGAAGTCCACTATGGTGAAATGCCTGTCATGAACTTGCAGAATGCCTGTCAAGCCTCATGTCCAGAGAAGCTGTACCTTGGTAGTGACAAATTTTGTTTCATTATTTTTTTCTGATGTCAGCTTTTGGCTACTTGTTACCCAGGTTTCACTCCAGTGGGAAAAATCTTTCAAAACAGTTAAGTAGCAGTTACAGATTCCCTGCTATGTGTATCCCAGCTTTTCTTTTTACATCGTTTTCAAATATCTCAATGCTTTGCAACAAAAAGTTGGCTTCAAATCTTGCAAGTGTTTTAATACTTCCAGGTATCAGGGCTTTGTGCTTAACTGTATGGGAGCTAACTGAGCAGGCTTTCAGTTCCCCAGAGATCTTTTTACTATGCTAGATGTATGCTGTCTATATATCTGCAAACCTTTCCTCTAGCCAACAACCTTATTTCTGTTCATATAGAATGTATTTTTTTTCTGGGCCAGTACCATGCTACTAACTGGATGATCCAGGAGCTTTTTCTGATGATTAAACAACACATTAGAAAGGGATCCTTTTACTGTCACGGCCATCTTTCAAACACAGGCAATAAAGAGCATTACCAGCTATTAATTCACGCGTAAACTCCATGTGAAGACTACCATTCACGAAATGAAGGCCAAAATACCCATTGCTGGCGCCAGCTTTTTCAAATGTGAAAGCAAAATCAAATTTTGCTTTCTCGGGGACAGGAGGCAGAGTCTGGCGTGCCCCGGGCTAGACGGACCCTGCAGTCACCGAGGCGTCAGGGAGGGGGTGTCACCCCACTGCCTCCCTTGAGTGGGACAGAACAATGGTGCACCCCGGCCCCTGCCTCTGCAGCAAGGCCACAGTTCATCATCCCTGGCCGTCTGCTGCCTTAGGAACTGTGTGCTTTGCATACAGCTACAAACATCTTCGGCTCCAGCCCGCATGCAAATCTCCCCGAGGCAGCGCTCTTACTCCCGCTACCCCCACGCCTTTGGCACTGCCATTTTTTCCGTGGGCTTGCTCCGCTTGCCACGTCTCTGTTGAGGGTTTCATGCAGACACAGCCAAGAGCAAACACAAGGGAAATCACTGTGTGCTGCCACCGCAGGCACATGAAGCGGGTCCAGCTGCCGCTACCGGCACCTATACGGATCGAGCGCCACTCTCGGGGTGACAGCGCCCGTTCCATCAGCCCCAGACCGGGCTGTAACCGCGTGCTGGCAGTCGTGGCATCCATAATTGGCGCGCTTGGCTCCCCAGCCCGGCGGGGCTCCCGGGCTCCTTGTCCCCGGCTCAGCTGCTGATGTTTGGCCCGTACCACCCAGCCCTTCCGGCGCTTTCGGGACCACCTGGCCCAAGGCAAAAAGCGCTCGCTGCCTGCTCCAGCCTCGCCACCACCGCCCTCCCCGCATTGCCTGCCCAGCAAATGGCGGCGGCGGGGGAAGGAACCCGGGACACGGCAGAGGGAAATTTCCTCTCCGGGGTGGCCCGGCAGAGCCCGCGAGGGAGGGCGGGGGCCCGCCCCGCCCCGCTCCCGCCGCCTTCGGTCCCAGCTCCTGTCACGATGACTGCGGGAGGAAAGCTCCCCCTTCCCCGCACTGCCTCGCCGCCTCCGGCCCCTCCTCTGCGCCCCCGCTGCTGAGCACGCCCGCCCGGCTAAGCGACCCCCACGCCTGGTGTTCGCCCGGCGCTCCCGGAGGCGGTGGGAGCTGCACCGCCCCGGCGCTCGCAGTGAAATGGGTGGAGTTGAGGAGCGCGGTTTCCTGAGAGGAAGTGACCGCACGGGGCAGGAATGCGCCGCCGGCTGCGCGCCGCGTCCCGCCTGCCTCGCCGCCGTGCCGCGGGGAGCCCTCGCCGCCCCGCCAGCCATGCCGCACTTCACTGTGGTGCCGGTGGAGGACAAGCCCCGCGCCGAGTACGACAGCGTAGAAGGGCTCAGTTGGGTGGACTACCGGGAGCCGGCCGCGGTGCCCGCCCCTGGTGACTCCTACGACACCGTCAGCTCCGACGGTGAGCGGGCACGGCTGGGGTGGGGGGCGGTGGTGCCTGTGCTCCGGGGGCTCAGGCAAGCCCAACCCTGCTCCGGCACCGCGGCACATAAAGGCGGGGGCGCTCCCGCGGGTGGCTCGGGGCGCCGCGCCCGGACGAGGAGCCCTCCCGGGTCCGCTGGAGCGGGTGGCGGCTCCGCTATTGCCAGGGCCGGTGGGTGAGCGCTATCAGCCCGCCGGCCCGGGCCGAGAGGCGGCAGCATAACCCGCCCGGCTGCGGCGGTGCCTCGGGGGTGCGATGGGCGCGGTGTCCCCCGGTGCGCACGGGAGCCACCCGGGGGTTCCCTCCGCCCCCCCAGCCGCTTCTTGACAGCCCGGGATGTAGCGGGGAGCGGGGCAAGCAAGGCGGGGGATGGTTCTTATCATTTCTCCACAAGCGGCTGTCTCCAGAGTGATAAGAGTACGTGGAAATACGCTCAAGTGTTTTCAGTGCTCCGCTGCCAAAATAAACGGCTGATAGCGAAGTCAGTTAAATTAGCAGCGTTTTAAGTGGCTGCTTTTCCTGTTTGTGTCATTTTAAAAAACGCGGCTGTCTAGCAAACCGGGCCCTTGAATACTACAGCAAGTGTTTTGTGCCTGTGTGGCTCACAACTACTCCTGCCAGGCAGAGCTGCTTTTTGTTAGGGGTTAATTTATTCCAATTACAGAAGAAAATCACGTAAGTAGGAGGGGATTTGGGGTGGTGAGAAGTACATTCTTTAACTAGACAGCTAATACCAGTGCTCAGCCTGTCTTGGTTGTTTTGCTGTGACTTTTAGGTAACAATTTAAATACAGCGAGTCTTTCTAGAGAGATATGAAGGATACTTAGATTTGGAGAGCAGAGTAGTCCTGGTACAAGGTTGTTTTAGCTTTTTGTGTCATCTGTTTTTTTTTTTCTGCCTTGATTACGTTTAGTTTTCTGTAACTTTTAGGAAGAGGATCTACCCATGGGCTCAGCTGGTGAATCTGACTTACCCTCTGTGAATCATGCGTGACTCTAGGCAACAAAAGAAAAAGCAGTAAACACCTGACCTGTTCTTCCTTGCCTGTGCAGTCAAACTTTTCAGACTCCAAATGTTATTGGAAGTACAGTAGTCCCTGAAGGGAGTCTGCACTGCTCAAGGAAGCCAACAGGGTTATTTTGCTGAGTGATACTCAACTGTCCTAAGAACAAAGTTCAGTTCCCGCACTGTTACTTTGTTCATTTCTCTGAGAATATGTGCTTTAATCTCCCAATATGTACCTCCTGGTTTTTTTTCTTTCTTTCTTTGTATAGTTTTCAAAGAAATTTTAGATTTTGTTTGCCAAGTAGCTTAAGGTCTGTTTATGTCCACTCTTTGCATGTCTAGTGTGGTTTTTTGGAGAGATGAAAGGTAGTTGTTTTTCCCAAGCTGTCTATTATCACAGACAATTTTAGGTACTAGCCCTAAAGGCTGTGCAGGGCCTGGTCTTTGTTTTGTAAAAAAGGTCTGTTTTACTCTCAGGTTACTTACCATATAGTCCATGTGGAAGTAACAGGTGTTTTTCACCCATCTCAGCAGGTCGAGGTGGAGACGTTGTGAAGTGCTTTTTCCATTAGCTAGCTTTGGCCATGGGTTGGTAAGTGTGGCTTGTGGAAGCTGCTGCCATGATGGATAAAGGAAGGTCAATTCAAACCACCTCTCATTTGGGTATGAGACTGCCTGTAGGATACATGCAAACAACACACTTCAAGATGCTCACTTAGCTCCCTGTCACAATCCATCAGTCACTGGCAAGCTGTGGTCTCTTACATACTGCTGTTCAGACTGCAGGGCACAACCATGCTACTGGAAGTTAGTTGAGTTTCTTTATTTTAAAGCCTATAAATATCTAGTAACTTCTCTGTTAATGTATGCTAGGTAGTTCTGTTTCTGTTTGAACTATAAGTGCCTTCTATTTTTTAATTTACTTTCACAGTAATTAAGTACTGTTTCATATCCTCAGGGTGTGCGTATAAAGATATGTTTTGCCTACCTGTACTGACAAGCGTGTTTTTCCCCACTAGTCGTTTCTGTCTCTTCCTAGTTTTTTTGGGTTTGTAGCTCTGTAGAGGGGAATCTGAACTTCCTTTTCTTATTCTTTGAGTTTTAGTGCTTCTTTCTCCATCCTATGCAGAGTACTCAGGCCACTCTTATGGGAGGAGTGTTGATGATATGACATGGTGGAGATGGAAGCTCCTGTTGAAGGCAGAGTATCTCACAGCTGTTTAGCACTGGCTGGAGCCTGCAGACCAGAGGGAGGAGTTACCCTCCAGAGCCTTCTGTGGCAGCTGATAACCGGCTCATGGAGGGATTTGTTGGTGGTGGTAATGGCCCTGATTCCAGACAAGGTAAACTGTTTGACTTGAGTGCACAGTTCAGGTTGTAGGTTGTGGCCCTATGGAAGTGCACACAGTTTGTATTGGCACTGCATGTGTGCACACAGAGCTGCCTAAGCAGTGTTGATGGTCCCGGCTTTCCGTGCGATCCAGTGGCTCTACCATAGTCAGTGTGAGAAACTGATTGCAGTTGTTCTGTGAACCTTCTGAGAGGATTTTATTTTGTCAGCTTGTTATTCAGAACCTGGTTTAAAAACTTGTTTGGATTGCTGAGTTTGATTGAAGATGGGTTAAGGTGACTCAGTAATGACATGGCCCTTCAAGAGTATGATCTGGCATGGCACTGTAACCACGCAAAGTAAGTGGCTGTGTTGTCCAATACTCCTTGCACAATCTCTTAGGCTGCTCCTTATGATTCTGACAGATTTTTATTTCGGTTTGACCTTTTTACAACAATCTTTATTTGTCATAGCTCTGTTGGGTTTTTTTTTCTTAATTTTGCTTTATTTAGGACATGAACCGATAGGGTGTCATCTAAACATCACAGGCGTGAAGCTGTTCTGTAACAGAATTTCTTGTCAACCATTTCCATAAGAAGTTAGTGTGCAATGATTTAGCCTTCCCAGATAACCCCAGTGCTTGCTTGTGAATAAAATCAGCGTTTTTTTTCTAAGCAGGTTCCACTGACTGCCACTGCTTCTAATAGGCTTTGACATCTTTCATTTAGAAAAAGAAGTACAAAGAATTATCTTGTGATCTGATGATAAACACGTGAGCCCTTCTTTATGGATCATCAGGGATGAGAAATGTGAATTTGGCATCCCCTCAGTCGTTGAAATAACGCCAGCATGTTAGGTTGGATATACAAGGCAAGAAGAGGGACAGTGGGGTCTGAACAGTGATTACAAAAGCCAAATACACTTTGCTTTAGTAGGAATCTCAACTCCACAGTGATTATGCACCCTGTTAACCAAAGTGCAGCAACATCACGTGTCTTGTGGGAAGTTATTTATCTTCCCTTGACTTTTGTATGTAGAAATGACACTAATCAGCTTGGTGTCACTAACCAGCTTTGGTCGGCTGCCACCCTTGGGTTTTGCCAAGGAATTGCTCTGCTTATATTCCAGTTATCACATGGCTTCCTCTCAGACCAGAGTTCTCTAACTGGACTTGAGACCTTTTCCTCACGCTTACATTCTGCACTGTGTTCAGTGCTCTTGTGCAGCAACAGATTCTGCTGCTCATTAGCAATAAACTGTTTTTGACAATGTGGATGAAGTTCTGGTGTGATAGCGGTGCACTTTTTAACTTTAAGCTTCTTCCTGGTTCACTGCTTTTAATATGTTTTAATTTACTAGTAAAGATTTTCGGTCTCCTACAAGACTTGAAATAAAGCTCACATAAAATATGTCTAAAGATACTTTTAATGGAAACACAAAATAATTCAAAAATTCTTCTTCGAAGTGCTTACTTCTTACATGTAGGTGTTTTGGCAAAGTCCAGAGGTAATTTAAAATCAGTCACATAATAAATTAGACACTACAGCTAAATAGGACTGACAGAAACACATGTCCAAATAACAAATTTAAGTTATCTTAATTCAAGAACTTCTGCTGGCAGCAGTGTGGATAAATGGCACAGTCATAGTGGTCAGAGTGGAATATTTTTACATAACCTCTGAAGCACATGTGTCTTCCGTGCTTTTCATGTTGCCTCACAACTGTAGAAAGAAGTCATGGAGGAGGCAGACTGGGGTGGAGTTGAGGCAGAACCTCTGAATTGTTTGGTAGGAAAGAAAGTAAACCTGAGAATAACAATACTAATGTCAGTGAACTATCTCTTCTAATTTGTTTTCTTGCTGAAAGTGGTATGGAGACTGCATCGTCTTCGATGTAGCCGTATTTTGATGAGGAAGGGTCTTTTTTCTGTTCTGCTAAGCTTGGCATTTGTTTTTCCTCTCTGAAAAGTATGATACGTAAATTTGGAGATATTAAAGGTGTCCTGTCAGTGCTAAATATGTTGATGTATGTTTTTGCTGCATTAAGGGTACTTATGAGATACACAGCAACGGTTATGGTTTGAAATGCAGATCCTGAAAGGGGTCTTAGCAGCAGGGTCATACTTTTGAAGTTCTGGGAGTTGGGGTTTTTTTTTTGTGGTGTGTGTGTTTGTTTTGTTTGCTGGGGTTTTGTTGGTTTTTTTTAAAATTATTTTGTTACTTGCTGTTTGAGCAATTGGCAATTAGCATAGCACTGATGGGAGTGCTAGATTCTAGAATACTTTTCTCAACAATCTAGTGAATGGAGAAGACTCTTGCTTCTGGTAAGGAAAGAAAAGTGTTCGGTATGTTAAAAATCAGAGGGGAAAAGTGTTTTGTGACAGAGTTAACTGTTTAAAATGGATGGGTGAAGGGGAAGATATATATTTTATTTATCGCATGTAAGCAAAGGAATTTCTGAGAAGCACATTTTAGTGGAGCCCATGGTGGATACCCCCAGTTTCTTTTAGCAGCATGAGGTGTTGTGATGTTTAATTTGTCTGTTAAAATGCTTGTCTAGGAAAAGAAAAAAGTTCATGCTACTGCATAAACTGTTACTTTTGCTAAGCATGTCTCATACCTCTTTTGTGCAGTGATTAAGGCAG